GTTTTTTTTTCTCCTTTAAATTGGAGTTCTGCTTTAGAATAGAAGTCAGTTGAAGAACTAGGTGTTCGATAAACAATAGCAATTAAACGAAATTGTGGATATTTAAATCTTCCTTCAAACCTTAACATTTCAAGGTTCTCATGTTTTAAATCATGTTTGCAGTTGTAAATCAAATTCTAATTTCTAGTTAATATAACAAGCAACAACACTACCTGATATATTGTTATCTTTTCTTACAAGATTGTAACTACTTAAATCAAGCTCAGAATCAAGGCTTCTTGCAAGTCAAGTTTATCAAAAGGATTGTTAAACAAATGGTTTATGTGGTTAAATTCCCATCTAGTGCTATGTATATGTAAGTGAGCTATTGTAAAAAAAAACCTTTCTATCAAAATCCAGATTTCCCGGCGAAACATTTTATTTTAGTTTGTTTAGTTTATCATTATCATAAAACAACAAGAATATCTACAGCATCATGTGAGTTAAAAGGCATATATTCCTTCACCATTAACCATACACTACTATCATCACGATCCGCGACATGAAGGTAGCCATGATTCATTGATAGTGTTGCGTTGATGAAACAAATGATCTAATTGACTGTTGCTTGTGGAATACCGTATTGTGATAATGTCAAAAACGTTGTGATTGGATAAGTATCTCGAGTCAAGTGATACAAATGTATTTATGTTTTTCTCCGTTTTTCAAATAATGCGCGAGTTTTGTGCTTGTACGACTTTCAGGGAACGTTATCAGATATATATTTTTTTTTAAACAATATCATGTAAAAAACAACAACATGTAGTTCCTTGAGATGGGTCACGAAAGTAAACAAGTTTCGGCGAGTGGACACTTTTCGCGAATCGTAGACTCATCGCGCCGATCTAGACTGCGGTGAGATGGGTCACATCTCGCACGTAGACTGCGGTTCGATGAGTCTACGATTCGCGAAAAGTGTCCACTCGCCGAAACTTGTTTACTTTCGTGACCCATCTCAAGGAACTACATGTTGTTGTTTTTTACATGATATTGTTTAAAAAAAAATATATATCTGATAACGTTCCCTGAAAGTCGTACAAGCACAAAACTCGCGCATTATTTGAAAAACGGAGAAAAACATAAATACATTTGTATCACTTGACTCGAGATACTTATCCAATCACAACGTTTTTGACATTATCACAATACGGTATTCCACAAGCAACAGTCAATTAGATCATTTGTTTCATCAACGCAACACTATCAATGAATCATGGCTACCTTCATGTCGCGGATCGTGATGATAGTAGTGTATGGTTAATGGTGAAGGAATATATGCCTTTTAACTCACATGATGCTGTAGATATTCTTGTTGTTTTATGATAATGATAAACTAAACAAACTAAAATAAAATGTTTCGCCGGGAAATCTGGATTTTGATAGAAAGGTTTTTTTTTACAATAGCTCACTTACATATACATAGCACTAGATGGGAATTTAACCACATAAACCATTTGTTTAACAATCCTTTTGATAAACTTGACTTGCAAGAAGCCTTGATTCTGAGCTTGATTTAAGTAGTTACAATCTTGTAAGAAAAGATAACAATATATCAGGTAGTGTTGTTGCTTGTTATATTAACTAGAAATTAGAATTTGATTTACAACTGCAAACATGATTTAAAACATGAGAACCTTGAAATGTTAAGGTTTGAAGGAAGATTTAAATATCCACAATTTCGTTTAATTGCTATTGTTTATCGAACACCTAGTTCTTCAACTGACTTCTATTCTAAAGCAGAACTCCAATTTAAAGGAGAAAAAAAAACCTTTACAATCTACTTCAAATGTTATTATCCTTCGAGATTCCACTTGTAATAATCATCATCATTGATACCCCCACCCCCCTTGTCATCTAAACTGCCGAAGCAAACAGTTACTACTTGCTAGAATATCGAATATTAGTAACAATCTGCATTGATCTGATTTTACAGCCTTTGAAGCAGTAATATCATCATTTCTCGAACAAGTGAAACACGAATATAAATCAGGACTTGTATTGATCATTAAGTCTTCCCTACTTTGGAAATGTCGCATTTATAGATCATGTACTGCATTGCCAATAACTATTGGTTTTATCAGACACAATCGATATCTCTTGTCCCAAACGTGTTTTATTAATGACCTATAATAATATTCTTCTCTTTTCTTTTGTAAATCGTACATTAACTACTGTGAAAATACTGTGGCGAGGTGCCGGGTGCAATATGTAACATAACAAGAGTTCAAACATTTCAAACCCCAACTATGCAAGACTTGTATTTAACGCAGATTTCTACACCTCATGTTTTTTTTATGTTATCTGAAAATTCTTGGCAATCGGTTTGTCGGAGAATGGAGTACCACATTTTGTCTATAATATGCATATAATCCACACACAACAAAATGTATACCTTTGGAGCTGAAAACAATTATTATTCCGAGAATTTTGTACCAGTGTTCATTTATACGAGACATGCGGAACATTCCCTACTCTTAATCACAAGACCTACAACTGATTGTTTTACAAGATCCCTTCACTACTAAGGTTCACTCATGTGGAGTACCCTATCGCCTGATTTACGTACAAGTAAATTATCTTTATTATCATTGAAGATGTAATATGAACAGATAAGTATTGTGAATGCCCTCTGAGAAACGATTTCTGTCTTTTGATTCATATTTATATTGATATTGTATGACAGTATTGTCATATTTTGTAAACCTTTTTTGGGGAGTTATGCTGTGTCATTGTTCTAAATCTTAGTTTTGAATGTTTTTGTACTTTATTCTTGTTTCTATTATATTATAATTTATATAATATGTTTTTTTCATTATAAATGCATTTGAACTATAAAGACAGGGCCCCCTTGGAAGATCATTATTCGATATTGAAAGGGCCGTCCAGTGCATTAAAAAAAAAATTGACAAAAAAAAATATATATATACAAATCGTTTCTTAAACATGCAACCATATAAAAGTTGTTCTCAATCTTGTCGGAACTTGTACATTATTACGAGAGAAAAATTCATGTCGAGTCTGTATAGAAACAAGGAATAACGCCCTTGACGTAAAGTAAAAAAAAATTAAATAAAGTAAGAAAATGTACAGGTATTAATACTTTTTTGCATCAAGTCTTTAAATAGGGTTAAACATATCGATTCGTACAAAATGATCCAACAAATTATACAAAATGTTAAAGAAAAGAATAACGTAATGACAGAAAGTTTAAAAAAATAAAAATAAGAATAAAGAAAGTGTACAGACGTTGATGCTTTTTTGTACATCAAGTCTTCAAAGGGGTGGGGGGGGGGGGGAATGATCGAGTTTTGCAAAATAATCTTATAAAGAAAAAGAAATAACGTCTTGACAGAAAGTTAAATCAAAACAATTTAAAACAAATTTGTAAAAAAGCGTACAGGCGTTAACACTTTTTTTTTCTATCTAATCTTCAAAGTGGAAGGAAAAAAAAAGATTGGTTCGTGCAACAATGATCTTTAAAAAAAAAAAAAAAGTATAAAACTTATTTAAAAGAAAAAGAAATAACGTCTTGAGAGAATCAAAGTGGAAAAAAAAATGATCCGTTCGTGCAAAATGACCAACCACAAAAAAAAATGAAATGTTAAAACAAATTAAAAAAGCGTACAGGCGTTAACATCTTTTTGCATGAAGTCTTCAAAGTGGAAAAAAAAAAGATCGGTTCGTGCAAAATTATCTTTTAAAGAAAAAGTTTTAAAACTTTTTTAAAGATAAAGAAATAACATCTTGACAGAAATTTAAACAAAAAACAAAAAACAAATGTTAAAACAAATTAAAAAAGCGTACAGGCGTTAAGACTTTTTTGCATCAAGTCTTTAAAGTGGAAAAAAAGATCGGTTCGTGCAAACTTATCAGTAAAGAAAAAGTTATAAAACTTTTTTTAAAGATAAAGAAATATCATCTTGACAGAAAGTTAACACACACACACACACAAAAAAAAATGTTAATATAAATTAAGAAAAAAAGCGTACAGGCGTAAACACTTTTTTGTTTGCATCAAGTCTTCAAAGTGGAAACAAAAAAGATCGGTTCGTGCAAAATTATCTAATAAAGAAAATGTTATACACCTTTTTTAAAGAAAAAGAAATGACATCTTTAAAGAATCAAGTCTTCAAAGTGGACAAAAAAAATGATCGGTTCGTGCAAAATGATCTACCAAAAAAAAATAAAAAAATAAAAAAAAATAATAATATTATGAAACTTTTAAAAGAAAAAAGAAAAAACGTAATGATAAAAAAGTTTTTTTGTTTAAAGAAAACAAAATAAGAAGGTGTAAAGGCGCTAATGCTCTTTGTACATCAAGTCAGGTGCTAATGCATTTGTAGGAATCGGGGTCATTGGAGGCGGGGCAGTCATCTCCCTTGCAAAGTTTGCAGCGGAAAATGCAGTCGTGTCTGAGTTTCTTGTCGTATCCTACCAAACACTCGTGGCAAAAATATGACTTGTTGTAGAAGGCGGCCATTGATGTAATGAGATCAAAGTGATTGTCATGAACATACAGATAAATGGTATGCTGCCTGTCTTCGGGGCCAGCATACGTAATGAAGTTTAAGTGCTCTTTTGAAACAACCACCACCCTGAAACCGGCCATGAATTCCGTCTTTTCGAAGAGTTTAATCTCTTCGATGCTACATTTGGTATTTTCTGGAAGTTTGGCCTGTTTATACAGCTCAATGGCATATTCCCTTTGCTGTTTGTAACCACGTTTGATCGACTCAAAATTAGGGTGTTTTTCAATCCGGGCAATGCCAGTTACGATAGCCCTTGGACAACACATGTTATCTTTATTCTTCATCCTGATGATGCATCTTTTTCTGGACAATGTCTCTTCGATGGTTAAGCACTTCACATTGGAACCACCACCATTTGGCATAGCCATGTGTAATATGTTGAAAGAGACTGTTTCGTCCAAGCTTACCTTATCATTCGATTGAATAGTATTCTCAAGTTTGGTTGCAAATGCTTCGTGATTCATTTGATCCCTCCTTACAAATTGGCATACTAACGGGTCTATCTAATTGTGGGGAATTGAAAACAATCCTAACAAAATCTCTATCATTTACCCCCTCAACCATCTCTTCAATGATATTTTCAAACATCTCATTTACGCGTGGCATCATTTCTATCATGGGACCGTTATTTTCTATGGGTTGGAAAGAAACGGTGTAATCAGTTACATTAGCATTGTATTTGCGTACATGTTTTTGACTCACTTTGGTCACGTGATGAGTAGGGAGATTGGGTTCTCTTGCAGGCGGTGCATCTACAACACGTTTCTTAGATCCCCCAACATGAAAAGACGAGGGTCCGGCTACTGCTGCTGCTCTTGGTTGACTGTGGGAGGGTCCGGCTACTGATGGTGGTTGTCGGGAGGGTCCGGCCACTGCTCTTGGTTGACGGGAAGGTCCAGCCACTGCTGGTGGTTGTCGGGAGGGTCCGGCCACTGCTGATGCTGGATGGCGGGAGGGTCCAGCCACTGCTGTTGCTGCTGGTTGGCGGTTAGAGGGGCCAGGTACTGATGTTGCGTCACATGGCTTATTTGTATTGATGTCCATCTCCATTAAATGGTCATCGGAAATGCCTATGAGATAAAAAAAAAAAAATAAAAAAAAAAAAAGATATATAAGAACGGATAAAAAGTTTCATTCAACCGCTACAATGTATTGTGTTGTCTTCATACATGAAAAAAAAAAAATGAACATTCATCCAATGATCCTTTGCATTGATGTATATATAAATGAAGTATACACTAACCGTCATCAAAATTTGGTTGCCATGGAGTAGCTGCGTCATGTGGAAGACCTTGCTGGTGCTGCGTTGCTAGGGGGAGAGGGGGCTGTTGGTTCTCGACGAACACATCCACTAAATCATCATCGGTAATCCCTACAAGTATAATTGAATAATTTAATTAAATTTATAATTTGAACGTATACTTTATAATACTTTATAAATCTTCTTTTTTTTTTGCTTACACGTGAGTTTATGTTTCAAATGGAGATATCAATCATTATTTAATTTGCATTGAACAAAAAAAAACACTCATTATGTCACATCGTTGCCTATTATGGATTTTCGATGCTTAATCTCCTTCTTGAATTCCAGATGCAAACCCGATATGGTAACACTACAAAATTATTCAATTATGAATATGAAAATAAATAAATAAATATGATTAGCACTTACCATCTTCCAAGTCCTGCAAACTCAAAAAGTAGGATGACCTTGCAAATACCAAAGCATGTTGTTCTGGTTCAAGGTCTTCATAATATTCCTCACGAAAACTCGATACTTCTTCCAGGCATGTACATGCCCGAAGCTTGTGCATTAAATCACATGTAGAAATCATGGTACATTATAGAATCTGGCCAGTATTACAACAAAAACAAAGCGATGTTGACTCAACGACAGTTAGATGTCATATGATACTTGCCCATAGGTTCACCATTTTCTCTCGTCCAATCACAAACAAGTACCAACTTTGGGTCACTTCCTTTCTAAAAAAATCCTCGCATTCTCATTGGTCGGTAACACACACATTCAACATACATGCCGGGTGGCCCATTGTTTGGTCATTTGGTCCTTGTCCCTCGTACCCTACACACGTCCATCCTCCACCTCTCCATGAATGAATGAATGATGTAAACAAAAGAACTTCCTCCAGGGGATGTACCCTCATTACGTAACTTCCGCCGGAAGGACACCCCAATTAACTCATTAACACTCCCCTATTGTTTACCGGAAGTCACCGGAAGGATTAACTAATTAACCGGAAGGATTAACTAATTAACCGGAAATGCCAATTAACACTTCCTATATAGGGGTACCTATCTTCTGAGGTCCTCTCCCATTTGCTCTGTACTGAAAAATTAAAACTTTTCCATTTTTATTAGTTATTGATGAAGGTATAGATTTTGTGTGTGCAGAGATTGAATAAAAACATTTATGCAATGATCATCTGTTGTTAATCAGATGTAGAAAACACAAACAAAACTGTTTTCCTACATGTAGTCGAGGAAACAGGAAATTTAATATATGTTGTAAAATATATGATATTTATAATGTTTTTTTGTATTTTGTATATCTGTAACAATAGAAATTGATGATTGATTAATATTATTCAAATCATTTTGAAAAAATTTCCAGACACCCCTTTTTAGATGGTTTCCTGTCATGAAGTCATAACTAATCCCTGTCTCCTGTGATTAGATTCAGACAAAATCAAGACCACTAGATCGACGCACCGACAATAGTCCTGTCTACATCAGCTCGAGATTGCCAAATATCCCGCTATTTGAACTATCCTGATCGCAACTTATCCAGTTAATTTGCGTCTTCATCAGCCCGAAGTTGCAATTAGCGGGATATTTGGTCATGATAATCATCCCAAGATATCTTGGGCTAGTTTGCAAAATATCCCGCTATTTGTCCGGTGCGTCTTCACCAGCCCGAAGATTTGCACTATGCGTGAATGCTGAGCAAAATATCTTGAGCTAATTTCTCAAGCTAGATTTTCAAGTTTCGAGGTCAAGTCTCGAGCTGATGAAGACGCGATTCGTAACTTCGTGATTATTTCCCAGATCAGAAATTGCAGGCTATTTGGCAATCTCGAGCTGATGATGACAGGCCTACTGACAATGGAACAGCAGGTGCCAACATTGTCACAACTTAAACCACCTACTTCGTATTCTGGGAAGAAACTAAGTATGATCTTAACTGGATTTACACGCAATGGTTAGATCAGCACGCGATACTCGGATGAATATAATGTTGTCATCGGCTGTCAATCAGCTTTTTTCTTCCAAGGAGTTTCCTGACTTTAAAAAGTTTTTTGTATAGGTTTTGTGGAATAGTTTGACTAGACATGATATTAACCAATGGTCGACTTTTATAATGAAGCTGTTATTTCTTCTTCATTTTCTTGCCTTTTGGGGGGGGGGGGAGGGGGATAAATTTGTTTATTACGAAAAATAGAAATTGTAACATATTGCTAGAAGACAAAAATCATCACCAAAATATTATAAGCAAAGTTTGATGGTTAATGATATCAGAGAATGAATAAAAGAAAACAAAATATATCAGGGTCCCACATGTAAGTCAATTTTGAATACGGTAAGCTTCTTAAATGTAACTTGTATTGTAAAGTTTCTGGTTTTAGTTACTTTTGTGGAACTGTGTAACAAGAGGCTGTATTTCATACAAATGGGGGCAATAATGAGTTAAAAACACAGTAACAGGCTCAGTCTCTTTGCAATGACTACTTTGATGGCTTACACAACCAACAAACAAACAATCGTTATTAATCATACAGGCAAAGCATTTGTCACGTAGCAGAGTTCACTGCCCCCTTTGTGTACATTTCCAAGTTCATTTATGGTGTCATTATTTTTGTGTAAGTCGTAAAGTTTGTTTACAGAAGTATGAAAGGTACATATTACATTACATGTTATGGTTTGTGATCGAATTGCAGGAAAGGAGAGATATATTAAGTATGCAAATACATGAAGTACAATGCACCTTTGTACTAGATGTAATTCTTTGTTGGTCTCATTTCTGCACTCAATATAAAGTTTGTTTACAATATGAATGAAACATATATTTTGCTGTTTGAGATCAATTAAATGAAAAGGGGACATAAATCATGAATATGAAATTCATGTCATTGTTATGTCATTTTTTGTGTTATATTTATAGGAATAGGAGTTTTATAGGACAAAAAAAGAATGAGCATAATCTACATTGCCACAGTAATCACCACCCTCATGACCAACAGTGACAACACCAATATCACCTGCCCCACCATCATCACTAATACAACCATTACCACCACCACGACCACCATGACCACTACTCTCACGACCACCACTACCACCATCACGACCACCACCACCACCACTATCACGACGACCACTGCCAGCACCATCATCATCTTTTTTCATCACTACCACTACCCCAACCACCAATACTACCACCTCCAACCACTATCATTATTACCAATACCACCATAACCACCGCCATCACCACCACCACCACCACCACCACCACCACCACCACCACCACCACCACCACCACCACCACTACTACAACTATCACCATCACCAGCACCACCACCACCACCACCACTGTTGCAACCACTATCACCACAACATCACCACCACCTATCTCAACTACCCAGGGTGCTACAAGAATTTTTTTCACCACTTGCCCTGTCGGGCAAGTGGGTTTTCAATTTACTTGCCCAAACAATATTTCCACTTGCCCAAAACTTTAAAGCGAAAAAGGACTCGAGGTTAAAGCATTTATTATCTCGTAATAAATATCTATAAATATCATGCCAAAATTTGTAAATTCTTACTAAATAATAATATTGAAGATATTTTACGATAAATCTCGGATAAGTATGCGAAAACTAGACTAAACAACGTCGCTAAAACCATGAAAACAAAACAACAACGGCTTATATTCTGGGGGTCTCGATACTATTATCAAAATGACTCGCTCGGTCGGATCTTGAGACCGCAGTAATAAATTGAAAACGAGACAAAAACATTCATCTGATTTATATGAGCAGCGAGTTTTAAATAATATGTTCACAATCATTAACAGTCATTATGAATAAATATCAAACATTTGACTTTTTGTACTTACTAGAAAATCCCTGTTGTTTATTCCATTCCGATTCGCACGTGTTCATTTCCCTAGAATAATGACGTCATATTTGGCGTGATTCAACCAATCGGCAATCAGAGAATAGCAAAGGCCTGTCGGTGCGGCCTGCAGAGCTAGAGAGAGAGAGCGCGAATAAGCTCGCAGCTGGTACGATCGCGCTAGCTGTCTCTAGCTAGCTCACGGCCGGCCGTGCGTGGAGGCGGAGCGGCATTCATGGCTTGAAGTGTCACTGTTGCATGCGCGCTGAGCTAGCTGAGCTGGCTAGCTGTCTGTGAAGTTTTTTCGAAATCGGAACGATCGCTTTTTTGCTTCTGGATTTTGACGACGGGTAAGAAGTTGACGGGTGAATGGTAGAGTTCTTGGACACTAGGAAATTACTGTAAAAGTATCACTTGCCCGAATCGGGCAAGTGATAATTTGATTTACTTGCCCGACGGCTCAATTTGGTTGCCCCGGGACGTCGGGCAAGCGGGTTTGTCGCGCCCTGCTACCCCTGTGCCATCACCACCACCACCACTACCACCACCACAATCAACTACCATCATCACCAAACCCCTGCCACCAACACCACCACCACCACATTTTACTCGTACTGGTACTACCACCGTACCAGTGACAGCACCCAAGTAATCAATCATCATTGCTACCACCACAGCATCACCACTACCACCTTCATACCCACTGTTGCAAACACCAATACCACCAACAACATTGCTACTCCCGCTTCCATCTCATTCAAAGTGGTAGAGTCCTTGAAGTTCATAGGATACCACTTCCAAACCAGCGAGTGAGTCATTCCCATGAAGACCTCCCAATGAACTGCATTGACCCAAATACTAGAGGAGAAGGTTGAATGTTTAATGTCCCTTTCGTTGCCTGGCAACAGCCTTCAGACATCTGCCAAATCCAATTCCTCCAGACATCTCGGAAAGAGAGAGCATCTTCACCGCGGTGTCACATTTATCAATCCCGCTGTCTCTGTTGTGAGTCAACAGTTGTGAATCCCCTATTAAAGGAATTGATTCCCTATTTACTTGTGACCTTTTCCTCTGGCTGAGGACAGTGAGGAACAGTGAGGAACAGTATTAGCCCATTTTAAGTGCAGTTCATTCGCATCTTCTTCTGGCATCTCATCTTGTGATGCATCAAAGGGGGTGTAGCATAGCAAATATTGTTTAACGTCATCTACGACTTCTTTTGGACAAGTGCACGTAAACGAACGGACTTGATCGAAGGTCAGTGCGCGCTAGCGTTCACGAAACAGACCAAAGTTCTCCTCATGCTTCGGTCTCGATTATGTTGTACATAATACTGCGGTCGGGTCGTCCGTAGTCGTATTTTACCTGATTGGCCCCGAGTCAAGCCACGGGAAAGACACGTAGTCTCGTCATGCTACACCCCCTATAACTTTGATAATGTTTGTCAGAGACAGAATCTTTTTATTTGAAAAGGTGAAAAGCCTTGATTACCATTAAATGGTCTTTCTGACTTTCTTTTATCTTTAGTGAAATGAAACAATCAGATCTAAATTCTAACATCCAGATCAGGGCCTTGCATGGTTTCATAAAACCTATTATCAATGACAAGTTATCCTAACTGTTATAAGCTACTAAAATCATGGTATTTGATTCGTTGAGAGCAAATTTGAAATGAAAACTTAGCATTTGTTATTGATACCTCGTCTGATGCAACAGTGCTGATTTCTGATTATAAACCAGAACTGCACATCGATTTCTCATGATATAAGCGATTTATTATCTTCTATGCATAGATTAACATGTGTAAAATCACTATGGTATCTTGATTCTGTCCCGGCTTATTGGCGGCGGACCTCATGAGATCAAAGTGAAGAAACATGTACGGGATGTTATTGAGATGACATCGACGGAGACAATCACTATGAATTTGTTCTCACCATGAGAGAAGCAAGGACTTTGCTACAGTGTTCCGATATGTGGTAAACCGCAGAAAGAACCCCGCACTGTTTTTCGCAATGTGCAAGTGAAATGCCCCACGCACATTCGCTGACATGGAACTCTGTGTTATAAGAAATGTGAAGCTATTAAACCTTATGCCATCATAAAAAAATAGCCATGGCTTACTGCTGGGTATCTGAATGAATGTTTAAGGGGCTTTGTTAGGGTTACCCATTCAAAGTT